ACATCTACGTAGCAAAAAACACGAAGTTTTGCAGCTTCCCCTATAGACACTGCGACATCTACGTAGCAAAAGACACGAGGTTTTGCAGCTTCCCCTATAGAGACCGAATTAACGACGCGAAAAACGACGCGAAAAACGTCGCGAAAACGACGCGCCGACCAACTGGCGGCGAACACGGGTCCAACCCCCAGACCCCCAACTATAAACGGGAACCCTTCGCTACGCATTCGGGAAAAAGGGTACCCCCTAATTTGATTCTTCAAAACATCATATTTGTTGAAAAACATATTCCATTACATCAACATTCCCATCAAAAAGCAGATTGTTGACAGCATAAATCATATTCTTGGTATACTGCTGAGAGATACTCTATTGATACGCTATATTCATACCCCCTCATTTTGTAATCTTCCCATCAATAGACTACATTTAATGATGACTATTGATTGATTGATTGATTGATTGATGAGTATTGATGTAGAGTATCTCTCAGTATCTCTCATTGTTGCTATGTTCCCATGACCAAAACTATCGGCCATGATGATCTGCAGATGTTCCCACCTTTTCAGCGGCAAGCGCTGTGTTACACGATCGGCTAGGGGCCTGGCCATGGCGCAAATGGCCACGTGTCTCTGTATGTGTATAACGTATATATATATACATAGATAGATATAGGACAAAAAACAATAAGTATGATGTATATATATATATATATACATATATATATATATATTGCTTGCTTGTAATTATTGATGTATTATTGATGTATATGTGATCATGTTACACATAATATATCATCTGGATGCAAGCAACATGAAGGAAGTGGCTTGTCAACATATATCATTTCAATTCATATCCCAACATCTCGTTTGGTTTCCAGCAACTGCGCCTCCTTGGCAAATGGGGGTTATCCCAAACCAATCTGACTGGGGAGACTGATGTTTCTGCCATTGGATTTTTTGGGGTTCCTTTCGACACCCCTATTTCCGCACCGCACTGCCTGCCAACCCACAAACGCACTGCCGGCTGCTGCGAGTAGTAGCAGCAAAGGCACCTGAAATTCTGAGTGCTCCTTGATGGCAGGGGGATCAAACTTCATGCCACATAGAGTCACAACCAACGGGAAAGGGGATGTCGAAAGGGGATGTCTCACCCGAACACTAGCCATCATACCATATCATACCTAGACACTTGACACTGCTTCTGTTTGAATGTGGTACCCTCTGGTAAACGTTTACATAACTATGGAAAATCACCATTTTTACTGGGTAAATCAACGAACTAAATGGCAATTTTCAATAGCAAACTGTTAGTTTACCAGGCCGGGTACTTTGTTTCACAACAAAACCACCGGGTCTTTGTTGCTGCTGCCATTTGTCATTGTGACATCACTGGATCATCTGACTGTCGAGGCTGGGCTGCTGATCCTTCCTGCTTTTGCACATCCAAAGTTCACCAGCTATTCACACCTCAATTTTTCTTGGAAATTGAAAAATTCACCAAATTTCACCCACAAAAAAAAACAAAGGCGGCCAATCAATCGATTCTTCCGCAGCAAAAACTGGGCATTTCCCCACGACACATCTCGCCCGTCTCGCCTCGGAGGGTCATTTAAGGGGAACATTGCTATCATAGTTGTGGTTTAAAAATCTGATATTTGACATAGCTATATGGGGATGGGTCAAAACCCCCTGGTGAACATCAAAATAGCTGGGATTTATGGATGTTCATCCCCCTAAAAATGGTATGTATAGGTGTTGATCCATAGCTATATTTACCATAACAGTTCCAGATTTTTGTAAAAACCACTGATAACTATATTTCTGTTACCACACATATTGGAAAAAATAGCATCCAGGTATAGCTAAATAGACATTTGGGTATGGGAAAAACAACTACATGGCCCATCTACACCATAGCAACCTGTAACAGTTTACTGGAGGTGCCAACAAACAATTATACAAAACCAAGAACAACCGGGTATCAGACCAATCATTTTCGGATGGAGATGGGATGAAATATGTAATACGTGGTTACTAATATGGATCAAAGTTTGTGCCATCGAAAAATCGATGGAACAGAATACCATCTAGTGATCAAACGTGTCAATAGAAAATCCACCATTTATAGATGATTTCTCCCTTAAAAATACGTCCCTTTTTGGGGAATTTCCCATTGCCACTTTTGATTACCCGAAAAGGTGTGTCCATTGCTTCGTCATTTTGACCATTGGAAACTCCCGTGACCTGTTCTCCCAAACAGAACAGGAAACGTGTGGTCCTCCAACATGTAAAAATCACAATCATGGTTTTTCAACTTTAGCTTTGGAGCAACGGTGTGACATCACAAAACATCATGATTGGTGGTTATATATATTTATATATATATATATCCCCATCCAAATCCACGAAAAAAAGATTTACAAAACCATTAAACATCCACATTTACACCTTTCTTAAAATCCCACTTCAAGCCCGTTCGACCCGCTCAGGTCACCATTTTGGCCCGTTCCATCCGAAGAGGCCGCAACGCTTTGAGCCAAAAAAATCAGCGATGCAGAGGCAGCGAGGGTACAGCACAATATACAGCACAATACAAAGATGCTATCGGATAAATGGAATCCATATACGTTATATTATATATATATATTCCACAATAAATGATATAATGGGGTATATGACAGTGATCGGATATAATATATAACAGTGATGGAATATACATCAGTGGATGCTACTCTGATGCTACCTTTCTATCCATTTCTCCATCTTGTCAATCCACCAAGGGTCTGTTCGTTTGGATTTTTCTTTCCTTTCGATACGACAAAAAATGCGAGATGGTTCATTGATGCCTTGTGATGTGCGATTTGATGACATTTGGTACTGAGGGAGCATGTCACATTTAAGCATGCAACAGCTGCATGGGCCTCCAATGCAGTACTTTTCACGCACATGGCGAACACACACGACTGTGGCACCTGCAAGTCCAGCAATTGTTGCTTCGCGGCTCGCAACATATTCCAACAAACACAGGTTGGGCCGAAATGCCTCATGGTTGGTGGCACCAGATCGCCATGAATCAAACTCTGTACATATAAGAGTTATAGGAGCAAATATGACAAAATCATGATGATACACTACATATTTATGATATGCAAAGCACCAACCATAAAACCGGCCTTTAACAGGAACATGGACTGCAGAACTCAGCACGCGTTTTGGAACTCAGCTGTATGGCTGCACTCTTCACGGCCTCAGGGGCGATAATACATCATGATACCTCATTACACAACACATACTTGGCACCAGTATATATATATATATATATCGATGATACCCCATCATTAAACATACCATAGTACATACATCAATATACATCAATATATATATATATGTAATTATATATATATATATCTATAATTTATATGTATATAAGTATATATATCTATAATTTATATGTATATAAGTATATATATGTATATATATATATATCTATAATATATATATAATGCATACTATTGTGGTTAAACCTCTTCAAAAACACCCCCAGAGGTTTTTCCAAAGCGCTTCGTCCAGGTGGCGACGTCCAGCTGCGCGCAGCTCTGCGCGATGCGAACGTCAAGAGCTGTCCGACCGGTAGTATAGTTGGGATCCTACCATTTATAGTTAGGTAACATTAGTTAACTAACAAGTATGGTTGATATGGTTATGATTCTAGTGGAAATTCAGTAAGTACGAAACTTACTCAACTTACTTCAGATTTGAGTGCTAATCTAGCCAAAAGTTGACGCAGAAAGAACGATAACAGCATGATACACAACAACTCTGGGTCACGGACATTTTGGGGCACGCATCGGCCACAAAAACGAGGGGTACACGGTTTATTGTCACAAAAACGATGGTCTGTCAGAACACAAAGGTTAGGCAAGATAAACATATCTAAATATATCTAAACATAATAAACATGTAACTCAAACCATGTGTACCCAAATAATAACATATGACTACAAAGGATGGTTTGTTCATATAATTTGAACATATTTAAACCACACTTCCGGGGAACCACAGGGTTCTCGAATACAAATCGACAGAAAATGGTGACGAAAAACTGCGATTCTGGGTCACAGAAGGCCAGGATAATGTCGTCATAATTGGGAACCATTCCGGTTAGTTATTTTCATTATGGCATATGTTTTTCAAACCATAACATAAATGCCTTGCCATAACATTCTAATACTATTGTTGTCTTGAAAACTTTGGCAACACATGGTCCAAAAATAATATGCGCAATGAGTAATTCTAGTCTGCGTACAGGAAAGAACAGCAAACTGTATTGCGATTGATGTCCGGACAAATGGACAATATATGAATGTAGATGTATGCGATCGTATTCTTAGTACATTCTGACCTTGAAAATTATTATCAATTAAATGTATCCGAATTTTCATGACATTTCCAGGTGAATCAGTGGCTGAAATGGCTTAAACCCATGTCGCAGCTCCGTGCGCTGCACCTCTATGATCACTGGAGGGTTCATTGTGGAGGCGTAGCTGGGGATCTGTCAAATTGCAAAAAGCTGGACCATTTTCACAAGGAAAAATGGTAGATACTTACAGTGACTGTTGAGTTCTAGGTAGATTTAAGTCAGGTTTATGGGTTGAATTCCGAATTTTGTACATTTGAACTTAACAAACACACATCTACTGGTCTGCGTGTGCAACCGTACTTTGTCAAATCAATAGATGTGACGCAACCGACTGGTCAGAACCACATCTTCACCATCCCAAGAGCAACCGTCCTCATTCAAGGTCAACAGACAAAGATTGAGACTCCAAATGGCCCTTCCACAAGTGCAACGAGATTCGCAGATAATTGGCAAATTGTGGCGATGAGGGACTTGTGTAAGATTGTAACTGAGGGACTGAAAATAGAGAGCCACATATTTTGGACAAAAAACAACCAGATTCTGAACATGGAATCATTGCGGCTCCCGGATTGAACAACCTGGAACTTCTGGAAGATCTAGCTTCGGAAAAGTTCACCTCACTTGCGGCGTCAAAAAAAAGCATGGAGAAGCATGGAAGGCTACGATACCAGAAACACAATCTGGATGTAGTAACTCTATCTGATTCTCTATATGGCTTGATTTTCTGTTGCAGTTCAAAGTTTTTCAAAGACCCATTTGGGTCATCACAGTTGTGTAAACGGTCATCCCTGAACCAAAACAAACAGGTCAGCCTCAGGGTTTTCGGGACATTTATAGGGACAATTTCTTGAAACATGCTTGAACCGACACCCAAATATGGGCGCAAGATGAACCAAGAAAAATGGCACTGAACCCCAAGCGCACGCCCGAACAAAAAATCGTTGTTTCGATGCACTGAAATCATAGAGGTAGCTGGGAAAGCGTAGTCCTGGCTGAAAATTGGACTTCAGTTGCAGTTCAAGTGCTGAGATCTGCTGCGCCTCTCGGTTCTCGTGGTCCATAGTGGTCCTTCGCAGGATGGACTGGGCATCGGGTCCTTTGAAGAGTAACACTGGGATGAATATCGAGATATGAAGCTGGTTGATTAGTTTGATGTGACAACCAGGGAACCTGGGCTTTGGTCCAAACGGCAAACGGTATACAGAATCTTTCAAGGATCTTGTGACTCAACATTTGATGAATCTGGGAGTCTACATACTCCTTTGACTGTAACAGCGCTGGACCCGACGAAAAGCACCATGACCTTCCTTGAAGCTTCGAGATTTCTTGCCAAAATCCTGATGTTTCAATATGTTTCAAGCCCGTCAAAAATGAGCCCGGCCTCCCATAATCAGTGGTCAAGAGCTATGGAATTCTATTTGAAATGGATGATTTTTACTGCAAGATTTCATTGGTATAGTCTACATCATTCATAGTGCCATAAATCCTCCATAAATCCACCACAAATTCCATCCACCAGTAACAACGGGTAACGACGGGACATGCGGACAGCTCACGGTGTCCTGCCAGCTTTTCCCAACCAGCCCCTGGCGTGGCAAGGACTTGGCGCTGAAGCCGAGATCGCGGTAGAACTTCTCCACCGTGTGACCGTGGTCGCTGCCTGCGTACCTGGAGACCGGTGGAACCAAAAATGTTGAACTCAACGAATGGGATTTTTCAGATGTGGGTCAAAATCGATATATTTTCATAATGTACGTATACACGTATGTATATATGTATAAATGTATATATGTGTAAGATTCTATTTTTCGATTTGGGGAGGATTTATATCCACCGGACAACTATGAATGGGATATAACATTTGGGATGTAATGTGATGATGTAGCTAACTAACGAACGTGTGAGCTAACTAACGAACGAACTAAGTATTGACCTGTAGTTATTGAGGATTTATCAGTTATGATCTTGGACATAAGATCTTTGGGGACAACTATGGGATGTAATGGGTGATAACATTTGGAGAATATGCGGAGAACATACAAGTATAATCATGCATAAAATAAACCAAATAACCCCACCCCCCAATTAACGGCTAAATAATCCAACTTTTGATTTTAGCTGGTAATAATAATATACATACATATATATATATATATACACATTCCACTAAATTATGTCACGAATAATATCCCATTAAATCCATATTTTCATTGGTTAAATACGTTTGTGAAGAGTGCTCCAAAGCTTCAAAAAAATTCACCTTCACCCAACTTCCTCAGCAAGTCACATGATGATGACCACTTCAGATCCCTTAGGATACGCCAAAGCACCTGATTGGAATCGCTTGGGATTCGAATCTATGGCTCATGTGTAGCAATGGACAGGATTTGCTGTACTAAACGTTACTAAACCATCCACTTACCATCTTTGGACAATGAATTTCTATACTCATTTAACATTTAACATTTTACCCACCCGAAGCATGAATTTTTACCATGTCAGGCGAATCATCAGGGGATGCACATGAAATCCATGGATTGTCGGGTGGCTAACATCTCGATCCAACTAAGGAAGGATTTTACCACTGGTTACCATTAATTGTTGGATTGCTAATTTTGAATCAGTTAATCAGTGGTAACCAATGGTAACCAGTGGTACTGAAACAATCCATTTTTTTTATCGATATTGAAAATTCCCCCATTTTCTTGGGAACTACCTAATGACCAACTTGGTTTCCGGGATCCCAACGAGAGCTGAATTTTGAAAAACGGCGAGGGGCGATCCAACACGATGAGGACTGATGCCAGATCGACCATACGAAGTTGGAACACATCCTGGTGGCAGCCCTGGGATCCCCAATCTGGTTGGTGGTTGAGGTATACCTACCCCTCTGAAAAATGATGGAGTGAGTAACAGTTGGGGTTATGAAATTCCCAACTGAATGAAAAAAAAACATCTTCCAAAAACCAGCAATAGATTCTATGAAAGTCATCATATTCATTCTAGTTGGTGAAAGTAGTACTTTCAGAGAATCTTTTCACTGGGGCAACCCTTGTAGATGGCAGAAAAGTTTGGACCTCCATCCTTAAGCCCGGAGGCCCAGTTATCAAACCCCAGGATCCAAAAGCCATCGCTGGAATGGGGCAATATTCTTTGCAAAACGACATAGCGACATAGTCACGAGTGGTAAGTGGCCACTGGATTTTTAAATCTAAAAATAACAACCATTCATATGGGTATGGACCTGAAAATGGATGATATTTAGCCCATTTTGGGGCAATTTGCCGGCCAGTGAAATCATAAATGGTTGGAATTGGGGGTCGACCAGCCCCAACTACTGCGGACAGAGCTTCAATGATGATTTTGGCCAACACTCTTTGCCTGCAGCGGATCTGCGGATGACTTTGTGGCATGCAAAAAAGCCGTTGGTCAAAATTGGATGCTTCCGAACTCTTCCAATGTTCAATGAGTTAGATGTGTTTCTTGCTAAAAATATCTGATGTCCACGTAATTTCAGAGACTTAGCTTGTCCACCAGTTTCATGTTCACTATACACGTTTTCATTGATTGGTGACGTGTATATATATATATGTATGTATGTATGCATGCATGCATGCATGCATGCATGTATGTATGTGTATATATATTTGTATGTATATATGCATATATATTTAATATATATATATATACATATCTAATATGTATATATATATACGTATATATCTAATATAATATATATATATGTAAGTAATGTGATATTATGTAGATACAACTTCCTCCTCAACTGCGTAACGGAGCGCTTTCCAACCCGCGAGGCTGCCACTGAGTCACTGCCGAGGTTGTAAATCGTGAGAGGTGTGATCATGATAAACCATTCATGAGGATGGATGAACATGGGATCATTACCCTCTAGTAAACTAACATAACTATGGAAAACCACCATTTTTCATGGGTAAATCCACTATAAATGGCAATTTTCAATAGCTATGTTAAATTACAAGAGGGTATAATGTTGTGAGATACCCTCTGGTAAACGTTAACACAAAACTATGGAAAAGAAAATCACCCTTTTCAATGGGTAAATCCACTATAAATTTTCGTTAACCTCTGGTAAACTAACATAGCTATTGAAAAATGGCCATTTAGTTCGTTGATTTACCCATTAAACATGGTGATTTTCCATGATTTTTGTAGGTTTACCAGAGGGTAAATTAGAACGAAATGGGGGATGGATGATAATCCCATTATAATAATTATCCATTATGATACTCCCATGATAAATACCATGTATAATACCATTAAATTCCCATTATTATAATCCATTACCAAATGGTAAATTTGCACATGTATATATTATATGGAATTACAAATTACCAATGGGGATTAGCCGTATGATAATTCACCATTCACATATCATGGGTATCATAATTTACCATATAAACATGGATTTATGGATGGAAATCATGTTGAGATGGTTGTTATAAACCATTATTGTGGGGATTGTTCTCCCATTAAATCATTCATTATGTGGATCTTTGATAATGGCCCAATGATGCAGGAAATCCTCATGCTGGTTAAATCAGTTAAATCCATGATTATTTAACAGTTCGCCATGGAAAGATCCACCCATTTTTAAACGGTAAACCTAGGTAAGCCATCTATAAATCTATTTAACCATGGAAAATAGATGGTTTACCTAGGTTTACCTATTAAAAATGGTGATTTTCTATATGGCGAACTGTTAGTCATAACCAGAGGGATTTATCCAAGATTTCATCTGGTGCCTGCGTGTGGTGGCCTTGCCATCAATGGGGTCGAATGCTAAGATCTCGCGCATGGCTTCGTCAAAGGAAGGCATCTTGATCCTGGGCGACACCACAATCTGGAGAAACTGCAGTAGTTCATCATAGTTTATGTTCCTGGATAACAAGATTGATGTTGATATTGTCTGCCGTGATACCTGATATATCATATATGTAATTATTGTCATTCTAATAATATTATTCCTGAATTCTGCAGTGATACCTGATAATTGTAATATTACCCCCAATGCCGTCTGTTGCCCAAACATTAACATTGAGGATGTTGCGTTGTCGAAGAAAATACTGCATATATACGCAGTGTTTTCTGGTTTAGGAGGCAACGTTTTCAGGGTTTAGGTTTTGGGGTTTTAGGCTTTTAGGTTTTAGGGAAATCTTGGTTCTTCGTCTGGGACATCGACACCTGGTCCCGGCAGTGGTCAGAATAGCTCCAGCGGTGCTTCCGAGTTTCTCTCCCAAGTTGTAAAACCTTGGTGTCATCCACATATGGGGGTTTCCTAAAATAGGGCTACCCCAAAATCCATGGCATTTTCATAGGATTTTCGTCGGATTTTCCATGAAACCATCCAGCTATTGGGATAGCCACATGACTATGGAAACCTCATTAGTGAAGTCAGGCTGATTTGTGATCTCAAGAGCTTTTGTCTTCAAGTTTCTGGGATACTTAGCTTAATTTTTTCTCATGTTCCAGGTTTTCGAAATGAGGACAAAGACTTGTACATTCATGGCTTTTTTCGCATTGAAAGAGACACATGGTCTGCGGTTGACTTGTCCATGTGCAGGGCAAATGACACTTTTTGATTACCCTCTGGTAAACTAACAGTTTGCTATTGAAAATGGCCATAGAAATAGTGAGTTTTCCCACTAAAAAGGGTGATTTTCCATAGCTTTTTGTAGGTTTACCAGAGGGTAATACACACACACACAGAAATGACGTGAAATCCACAGATTCTGGCCGCTAGGAGAGGAATGGTAAACCAACTCTACATGGGCCATTTTCAATAGCCCCCTTCAGTGATAGGCGGTCCTCACGGGCAATCTGAGTTTCTGGACATCCGCCAGGTAAGTCTTAGGATATCCCCAATTCCAATGGCATATCATTATTTTCCATATCATTTAATTGCAATTATATTTGGATGATCATTTATAGAATTGGATGATTATGAAAACCCTATCATTTACTATATTTACCCTCTGGTAAACTAACATAACTATGGAAAATCACCAGTTTCAATGGGAAAATCCACTATAAATGGTGATTTTCCATAGCTATGTTAAATTACCAGAGGGTAATGGATTATTTTCCCTCTCATTGAAAATTTCCTCCATCATCTTCCAACTGGTTGGTGGTTTTTCGCCCGCCACCCCTCTGAAAAATGATGGAGTTCGTCACTTGGGGTTACTATTCCAAATAGATGGAAAAAAAACAATCTTCCAAACCACCAACATCTTCCAACATACCCTCTGGTTATGTCAAAATAGCTATTGAACATGACCATAGAAATAGTGGATGCAAACCTAGTGGATTTACCTATACTATAGATGGTGATTTTCCAGTTCGCAAACTGTTCGTCATAACCAGGCCGGGTCCCCAAGACCAGCTGCTGTCGTTCTCTTCGTAAAAGGCACTTTTGCCCGAAGGGCTTGGACAAGCTTGGAACGTGCGGGGATGCGCTGGCATGGTTCGAATCGACATCATCCTCGGAACGGAGGAGTTCCAGGAACCATCAAACTTACCCGGCCTGGTAATGACTAACATAGCTATGGAAAAAAACTATGGAAAATCACCATCTATAGTAGGTTTGCATCCACTATTTCTATGGTCATTTTCAATAGCAAACTGTGAGTTTACCAGAGGGTACATTGGGAAACACGGGGATTTCAGCTCAACATATATTACATATATTACTCAAGAATACTGATATGTAAACTGTAAATCATGGTCACTTTTAAAGGGGCCTTTCCCCATTTATATTTGGAGAAAAGCTACGAGAAAGTCATGGAATATCCAGCGCCAAGGTTCATAGATCTCTCGGTGCACCTCCCTTAAGTACCTCCAGTGAGATTGGGTCGATGATTTGTCGACTTCTGGGAGCCCAATCCCTGGAAAAAATCAAAAAAAACATGAAACCATGATCCAGCCTCTGGTAATTTAAGATAGCTATTGAAACTAGCTCATTGATAGTTGATTTACCTATTCTCAATTGTGATTTTCCAAAACCATGTTAGTCTACGAGTAGTAAATGGATTGGATGGTTGCCATGTTTCCACATATTGAAACAATGTGCGGAACTTCCTGAACGTCATCCGCCAAACAGCGGTGCCCAAACAAATAAAGGGCGAAAGACCAGGAAATCTTCACACCGGAAGAGGATTGACGCCATTGATCCATTCTCGCAACATTATATACTACTGGCTGAACCAACATAATAAACACTGACCTGAAAATAACGGTTAAACTTGCGGCCATTTGGGGATGATTATCCTTATGAATAATCATTCCAGTGACATCACAATTGAGGTCTTTTTTTTTCGGAATCCCACTATCAGCTCCATGAAATATCCCATCAGAATCACTAGATTCTTCCACTAAAATCCATGGATTTCCCATGGAAAATTCCCATACCGTTCCAGCGTGGTGTCAGAACACCAGCGACAGTAGATTAAAGTGCTGTGCAATTCAAGAGGCAACAGTCATTCACTATATCTATGTATATATATATATATCTATGTATATATATATATATGAATATATATATATATGTATGTATATAATGAGATAATTCCTATGATAATTGAATATCATGGTTATACAACTGGAGTTACAGTAGTTTTGTAGAGGGATAGTCATATAATTCCAATGATAATTCCCGAAAAGGGCCACTTGGGCCACCCCCCCATCTAAGAACCGCTCCATTTTGGTGGCTGGTCATTCTGGGCCAACCCGACAATCCCAAAAATATGCTGGCCCACCTGGTCATCTCAACCAATCATGCCTTTTGTATGGTTGAAAAGCAATACTAATTGGTGGTTTCACCCCCCTGAAAATATTGGTCAGATTGGATCATCATCCCAACTATTGGGGAAAATAAAAAATGTTCCAAACCACCAACCAGAACACATATTTCAAAAAAAAAACACCAGCCTTGCTACTTCACTCAATCATTGCCAACTTCGGGTTTTGGCACGAAAACATATGCCCGGATACGCGAAGAAGTGATCGCCGTCCTGATCGTTTCCCTTCACGTCTTGCCTCAGTCACTGACACTGGGCTAGAGTGAGATAAGGTGAGCCAGCGTATTTACAGATGCGCGAATGTAAATACATATATATATACACAGTTGATTTAGCTATATAAATATACACCGCTACTCGATCTGATATGATATCTATAATATTCTATAACGATGTTCTACACAATACCATACTTTGTAGATAAAACAATACGTATACTATATATATATGTGTGTCAAAACCTTGTACCCCTGGTGAACATCAAAATAGCTGGTAAATGGATGTTCATCCCACTAAAAATGGTATTAATAGGTATTGATCCATACCCATATATATATATATGTATATCACGTATAAATCAGCTCAGCATGCACTACCCTTCCAGGCGCAATCCCAGCATCAGGAACGCTTCGACTTCTTGCAGGTACCACCGTTGTGCTGGCGAAATCGGGGCTTGTGGAGAGGGGCACCGGGTTCCAAACAAGTCGTGTCGTTGTAGTGATATGACATATCCAACATTAATATACCAATATAGATAGGAATAGATGTAGATCATAGTTATATCATATCGATTTTTCACATTCAAAATGAAACAGTTATAATAAGGTGAACATTCAAGCCATTTCTGAAGACCAAAGATCAATTCGCAAAAACATATAAAAATAGTGTTTTGCTCTTGTGGCACGAAGAAGGCTCATTCTGAAATTCATCAAGGATTGTGTCATGGCCAGTCATGGCCGCCAGGCTATCACCATCCAGCTCAGCAACACCATCCAGCTGCTCAATTCATGTTTATTCCACCATTGAATCGCGACTGTTACTTCTCAAATCCACAGTGCAGTTGATTGGTCGAATTTTTGTTGGCCTAAGTTGGATCAGGTCAGACATTTTTCTGAACCCTAAGAAGGACACCTTCAACGGCACGATTTTTTTGAACCACATGCCTCGAGCTATAGCCTCTGCAACACCATGATTTTTTGCTAGGTATCCAGGGATGTCGCTGCTCCAGTCTTCAAATCAAACATTCATAGAATCATTTCACAAGGCCCATGTAGTCCACTTTTTTGTACCAGAATCTAAAACTTTAGACATCCAAATCAGGGTTGCTCCAAACAGCCCAAATACCAGGGAAGGAAATTGGGTACACAAAGATACATAAAGAAAAAAACTGAAAAGTAGAGATAAGGTCGCAAATTTCATGGTTATTGAACAACATAAAAGTCAGTAATTTTCCGTCCTTGGAGCTATCATTCACCTATAACTAGGTGAAGCCTTCAAACGAAATCGCCAAGTTAACTTGGAGGCCTCAGCTTGTGGGAAAATCAAGTAAAATCCCATTGTTATCACTGCTCAACCATATAAAATCATAGATTATCACTGTAAAACCATATAAAACCCCATAGAAAACCATAGATTACCATAGACTATCATGGATTATCATACATTATCAGTATTAAACATCATTACCCTCTGGTAAACTAACATAACTATGGAAAATCACCATTTTTAATAGGGAAATCAACTATAAATCACCATTTTCAATAGCTATTTTGACATAACCAGAGGGTAAATCACATCAAAAAACCCAGGTGTTTTTTTCTCCGGCGAAGACGACCGGGCCGCCTTTCGTCACCAACTCTGAAGTCTCTTGGGCCTTTGGTCGAAGACGTTCGGCCAAACCAGAGACCCAAGTCCTGGGAGGTGCGGAAGGGTATCTTTTTTCTAACTTTCAATGGATTGGTTTAAGGGAAAATCTTAACCGGAAACCATGGTTTTTACCATCAAATATAGGGCTTTCCGGTTTCAATTTTCCCGTCATCCAATTCTGTGAAACTTAGAATATACAACATAGAATCTATATCTATTTATCTATCTATCTATCCATCTATCTATCTGAATACTTTTGGCTATGGTCATCAGTTATATTCATATTGTTTATAACCCCAATTCATATGATATATACTCTTGTTGGGCTTATACTAAAAATATGAATCCAATCAGCAGCATATTTATCATACGAATCAGTATTGAATGATAAATACCAGTATATTTATTGGTATATTATACTATCAATCTATGAATACAATATTTATCATGCAAAACAATTGTTGGGATGATATTCATCCATATCATGATATGGGCAATTTTTGAGATGATGTAATGGATTTATCAGTGATGGTCTGGGTTATGCAAACCAATATCCATTCAGGATTATTACTAGCCATGGGGATAACTTGCTTGACCAGACAGTTTGTTTTGGGAAGTTTTTTTGATGTTTTTCTTGGGGATTTCAGATCAACATGAGGCAGACAGGAGAGAATCATTTGGGATCCAGTTTTTTTTTCGGATTTTAGGATGTCAAAAATGTTGTTTTCATGAAATTCGAAGGTCAAACATCACAGCTTTTCGGAGATCTCTCCATCGGCAAGATTTTGTGCGCTGCCTTTTTGGGGCCGCCCTGCCCCCCCCGCCGCAGCCTGGGAGATCTGTCAGATCAAACCACGAAGTGATCATACGAGCAGACTTCAATATCTTCAATTTTCGGAAGCTTGCCATCCCATTTCCATCACTTCAGGGCACCTTCCAGAAACATTTCCAGCTTCCCAATCTTCCACCACTTTTCCAACCTTTTCGGCACCAGGGTCACCAGGGCCCCCAGGGTCCTCGCTTGCGGCAGATCTTTGGCCTTCAAATAGCACCGCAGTGGAGCCACAGACACCGGGATCAAGGGCCGAATGTCCTGAATTCGTACGGCTGGTGGATGAAAAAACTGGGGATTTTTGGGGGAAACTGATGTCAGTTGGATCTTTCCAAAGGGGAAACTGATGTCATGGTTTTAGGTTTTTGGGAAATCATATGAAATCATGGGAATGAAACCGAAAAAAAAATCCAAAGAACCAAAAACACCTCGTTTTTTTTGGGTCAACATGTAAAAAAAATCCATCCACACTTTTTCATCACGATTGAACAACGGATTCTGGCTTAGCGGAATCGGATCATCGGATCATGCCGCGTAGGCCCAAAGGGCAACTGATCATCGACAAGCCATTGATCGTTGCCACTATGGGATCAACAGGACCACCATCCGGGAGAATCCATGAAAATCCATGGCGAAATTGCTGAGGACGCTCCTGGCGTTGCTGATAACGTTCACCATTCCAATGCCTGGCACCGAAGCATAGACCTCCAATTGGGGGTGAAATCCTACCCCACTTCTTGTCTGGTTGGTGGTGCAATAACCATCTTGAAAAATATGAGTTCGTCAATGGGAAGGATGACATCCCATATATTATGGAAAAATAAAATTTGTGTTCCAAACCACCAATCAGTTGTAAACTTGATGGTTTACAATCTGGCTCACACATACTAACAACTCTAGCACCAAACAAACGGAGTGTTGTGAACACCCAAAAAAAAACAGCAACTCTCCTCTTTCTAGTCCCACATCTCAGTTCGACCGTTCTACCCAATTGGCATTACCTATCCCATTCAATCATGTGCCATGAATACATACCTTTCTAATCTAATCTAATCCAATCCAATCTAATCTACCTATCCATCCATCTATATACATGTTTTGGGGTGCACTTGGGGGTATTAGTGGGTATAAGTATGGGATTTCAATCTCCATTGGGATATCATCCCTCGATAAATGGCAGCATCCCTCGTGGGTCACGGGGTCATTTTCCCACGAAAAACTGAGCTATCGACAGCATAGACCGAAGGCGCAGGAATCTCGCAGCATTCTCATCCTGAAACCCGAAAAGTGGCCTTTCAAATCCTGGAGCCTCTACAAAATGGGGATATGGATGGATTTGCATTGCATATATTGCTTTTAATCATCCTGGTTCTAATTTTCAGCCCCCGTTATCCTGGTAACCATCAGCTACCTTCCTGATTCTCATCTCATCTGGCATAAGGGAGGCTCCATGGGTGCCTTGCTGCCACTACGTGCCACTCTTTGTGTGTCTAAAAATGGGGAAACATGTGGGTAAAGGCCATCAAGTCCAATTTCATGGGAATCCTGATAATACACCATGGCGGCTGTTTGGGTATTTTGAGCTTTGGAATGTTTTGGACATATAGAGTTGACTGGTTGCTTCTTCAGGGGTAACAGCTATCTGATTTCCTCCCGCAATACACCAAATTTGGAGAATTTCAGATGATTTTTTTGATGCCACCTCACAATCAACTTGTTATAGGTTGAAACCCATGAATGATACAAGTACCATATGATACATTTGCCATTGCCATCCATATCAATATTTCTATATATACAGGTATATCGTATATCTATAATATCAATATCTCTATCTATACGGGTATATCTAATATGTATATATATATATATATCTACAGTATATCTATATATATATATCATTCATTTTCACTAAGGTACCACATTTCTCATCCATAGCCAAAAAAAATCCTCCCAACTGTCGCAGTGCCCCAGTGGCTGAGCGTAGCATGTCGATGGCATCAGAGACCAAGCCGCAATAGAGATGCTCGAAGAACTTCAAAATCCAGTCCTGTTGTGCCGAAGTGTGTTTTCTTTCCATTGTTTTGGGGACACAGGACACATGATTTTGTTTATGTCGGAAATGATGATGAACCCGATTCTTGGGTTCGCAATATCGATATTATTGCATTCTTCATGGGAAAAAGGACTAGAAATGAATGAGCGGCTTATCCTCATCCAGCATAGTTTTGCCATTGGTCTTACTCTGACCAACTAAACGTCCGAGAAATGCCAAATGAAGCAAAGACTACAGTATGTTCCACTTCGTGAGTTTTAGAGAACTTGTCAATCAACCTGTCGTGCATTTGGCTTCAATATCTCATAGGAAATGCCAAAAAGGTTTCTATAGGATATACCCACAGTAGCAGGCCCACAAGTGCCAGTGAAAAGTCGTGGGCGCCCAAAAACACAACATGTTTTTTGAGAAACAGATGCCACACCCGTGCTTTCCTTCCAAGAACTGCAAGCATAAGAGAAACTGATGGATGAAACATGGAATTCCTATGGATTTCCCATGAAACTGGTCTTCCTATGGCCTCCAATCAGGATTATTTTCAGTGATGGTGGAACTGCGACATCGCACCTTAGGAAGAAGTTCCGGGGGCTTCATGACACAGGCCAGGAAGGGTACATAGTCAGCGTGCACGTGAGGAGAGTAGTACAATAACCTCGGAGTTTGAGTGGAGATTCGTGGCACCCAAAAAACACCACCATTTTTTTCTCTGTTTTGGGATGAGGTTTCTCTAAAAATATATAGGGTACCCCAAGAAAATTCCAATGGTTAATGATCAGTTTCATTCATTTTCCCTGTTAGAAAATGGCTTTGGCTGTTGGGTATCCCCTATTTTCAGACAAATTGATGCTTCAAGTTGGATATAGAATATATCTTCTAAACATAATGGAACATGTGTATACATATGCATATATATATATATTAGTGAATTATTAGTGTATCACATCATGAACCCTGTATACTAAATCATGATATATCATGAAACATATAACTCATATCATATCATATCACATAAAATCACATAAAATAGTAAAAACAAAAAACAGATAGGGGAACCCCCCATGGATTAACATATCAAGGGAACTATTTTACTATATACTTACATCAAATTAAATGTATATATATATAGATACTATTAAAAACAAGCCATATTCATATAGTATCTACTATGGATCTTCCAAGGAACTCCGAGGCAGCTCCGAAAAAGGCTTCCCAAGATGGACGCGGACAGTCCTGGGACATGGGGACATGGTGAACGGCGGATCAACATGGCGAACCACCTGGGTCTTTACCATGAAACAAACAGGTTACAACAGGTTAAAACCTATGAACAAACATACAAAAAAAACTATGGAAAAACACCATTGTTAATGGGTAAATCAACTATTTCGACTGTGCCATGGCTTCAATAGCAAACTGTTACAAATTACCAGAGGGTAAAACCTATGAACATGGAACACATTGGTGGAAGCATATAGATTTTCAACACAAACCAAACACCCAGTCTGATTCAACATGTCTGACATTTGCTATCCAAAATATGACGTGACTTTACCATGAACCCCCTGTCATTTGCCACATGGGAAAGCCCCCAAAACACGGGATGGGATTTTCTCAGCACTTCGTGGTGCCGCAGAACATGGAAAGCGCGCAGCCCAAATGGACTAGCATGTGCCAAAATCCAAGAACATACAACATATTACAACATTATTTAATCGTGCGAAAATCGTCTGGAAAAACCAAAGGTTTGGTTTATTTAAAAAAACGCGTCTTCAGATTTTTTTTGTGTTTCTCAAAGGGATTTTCCCATGGATTTTTCCCATTCTCCAGCTTTGATCCCTGTCATGGTGACTGGGGTACCCGCCTCGGCCGTTCTCGCCACGCCAAGGCCCAGTTCCTGGATGGTGTCATGGAAAACCCCGAAAAATGCATTGGGGGCCCCGCCCTATGACTTAGGAAACCCCCATGAACCATGAATTTTAGGGAACTGAGGATCATTTCAATTTTGGCTAGCTGATTTTTTAAAGTTCATCATGGTACCGAAGTTAGGTCACAATTTTGTTGCATTCAACAGAACTTCCCACGTCTGTTAGCTTCCCACATCAACAAAAATTCACAGCTCGTCGTACGCCATCATAACATGAAGCCTCCTGGGACGGTCGATGTTTGGCCACCAAAATGTGCAGGAGGATAGCAACCATACTGTACCATACTGGATGGTGCTGAGTTTCAACAGCAAAAAAACATGTAAGTCAATCGGGGAGCATAGTATACCATCATCCATTTGTCAAAAATAAGAAACGTACTTGAAACCATGAGCCAGAACAATACAATATAGGTGTGTCTGAAAATGGGCTATACTCCCAAATGGCAATTTTGATAGAACATAATAGAACACTATACAACAATGATGATTAACAAGCGGATCTAGAGGTACCCGATTTTCAGACGACCCCATAATACGTTTCAGTAAATAGCTCACTACAAGTGGTTCTATCCGATTCCCAAGCCCGATCCAATCCATTCCCTCCTGAACTCGCTTTTCTTCCAAGTCCACGGGCGGGTTCTGGATCACCAAGCGTTGAAACCTTGATTTTTGGCAAATCAGACAGGGAGAGGTGTGTCCAAGACCTCAAAAACTTGGTAACACGGCTCCTCGCACACCCTGTGTTTTGGACTTCAATGTACAAAAACACCTCACGATTTGCTTTGCTATGTCATGAATGATGTGTTTGGATCATCGACGACGAAAAGTTTAATCTGCACGTTTTCCATCCTTTTTTCTTGTTGTCGGTCAGTTGTCACTTTGCCAAATTGTGCCTGAAAATGCATTCGTAGATTCTGTCCCAGAGAAGATATCACAACGTAGCATCAAGTGTGTCTGTAAGATTGTGCAAGTGCAAGAAAAAATATCATAATGTAGCCTATCCGATGTGTTTTCAGTAAACATGAACGTTTTTGCCCCACCCTACCGTACTACCCCACATGGCATGATGACAAAAATGTGGTCATACGCCTCGAGGGTGTGAGAAAATTTCTGTCACCAAAAACTTGGAGTACTCCTCTTCACCCGTAAATCGAAGATTGTTTTGGAGAGGTTTTCCATAAATCTGTGAATTGATGCTTCTTGAACTTTGGCTACCTCTCAAAACGATCGCTTTTGCGATTAAACATGCCCATTTGAGCCAATTTGGGATATTTTTCGGGTCCCCCAGTTCAAAGAAAACTTCAAAATCAGAAACGACTCGTTCGGTAGCCCAATAGCAGCCGGAGAGTATCTAAAGTGCCATGGATTGAGAGTCCAGCAATTAGGTCGTATACTAATATTGACCACTAAATTTTTGCAATTAGTGATATATATATACATATATATATATCTATATATGTATAGCAATAAGGACTATGATTAATACTAGTACCACTACTTACTAGTGCTAATGATAATAACACCAACATAGCAATGTAGTGATAATTGTAGTAATACTCACACTAGTTCCATCAGTTTTCATCTGGTTGATCATCATTTTTCATGAAAACTGCCCTCTGGTTCCATCCTCTGGTTAACATAGCCATGGAACATGGCCCATTGATAAGGAATGATGGGCATCAATAGTGATATTGAGTAACCATAGAGATTTTATGACTCAATATAGCTATGGAAAATCACCATCTGGTTTTTGATTTACCTATATCCATGTCAACCTGGATTAATATGCACCCTAATTCGGCTGTGAAAAATTGGGGGTACCAGTTCAGCAGCCATGAATATTACTATTTGGTCAATGGAAATTCCAGAATCCGATTTCTTGGAGCTACGTTGGTACCATATGTTTGGCCATATGAATTGGGGGTATATCCCCTGAAATTTAGGCCTAAAAATGCCTAAAACATAGGCCAAAAATATATGGTAGGTACCTCGGTACCTCCAATAAATGGGTTTCCGGAATGGCCATTGAGTTGGGGGTAGATCACCATCCTCTGCGCAGGAACTCCTTCCGCATCTGAAACTCATCTGGGTCTCCCAGTTCCCGCAGATCGAAGAAATGGATCCTACCGCTGCGGTAAGGAATGGTGCATAGCGATTGGGATTGGAAGCCCCATTTCGAAGCACCAAAAAAAATTGCAGCACTAAGATTGACATGAAAAAACTTGCACACTTTGACAGAAGTACTACATTTCTTTAAACAAAACAATGAATAGTGTAACACTGAAGTCAAGATATGGTCATATTTAGCCGTTGCCAATAGGTGAGACCCTGGGAAATCACAAAGAAACGAGGCTATGGATCCACCCCTTTTGGGAAAACTTAAGTCCAAGGAATCTCTTGAAGCTCCAACCAATCTCTTCAATGTAAAGCCAATGATAATGATTCATCCCCAAGTCATCACCATTTTTGTAGCAACAAAAACATTCCCACAGGGCCACAGGTCTATGGCAGGTTTCCCACATAGAGGTGCGGGGTCAGCCATTTATGGCACCACCTGGCGAAATTTGATCACGACCTCACGTCGTTCTCCCGAAGCCTGGAATCATGCTTCAGGTTAGGAATCACTATCCCAATATAGCTTTATTTCATATTAACCATCATAAACCATCATAAACCATCATGAACGGTTATAGTGAAATGTTGGCTTTATCCATGGAGCTACCCCCATTGCCATCCAATCCATCCAGCTGGCGACCTCCCGGCTGGAACCCCGGGCAACCCGCTGGCGGCTCCTGTTGCTGGCGACGTGTTGTCTCACGCGACGTCGCACGTATTCCAAAAAGCTGCCCGTGGCATTGTCCGAGGCAAATCTGCGGGAACAAATGGAGTTGCGTCGTGCACAAATTTTCTTGGGAAAAACCCATGGGAAAACCCATGGGTGAAAACCATGGGAGAATTTCTCGGGAAAACCATGGGACGAAAAACTTGGAATGCTCTGAATATGGATATTTCAATTGGATATTTCAGTTGGATGTAACGAGTTGGAATGGGAACTTCGGAATTTCATCAAGATTTGACCATGTGGCGCATGTTATGGGGATACCCCTAGCAATTTAAAAAAGGGGAGAATGTCGATAAGCCCATGGGACAGTGGGGGATGAGTCATGCATTTCAGGGATATCATATATATATATACTAACATACCATACCATACCATACTGTACCATAACATCACATAGACGCATACAGCATATACATTTTTTCATACCATACGTATCCGTCGGATCGAGTTTTTCAGCGACAGGCGCGAAAAAAACGGACTGCAGCCAGGATCCCATTGTCCACTCAGCCGCCTGATCAGTCGAAAGCCTTTGAAGTCTTTGAAGTCTTTGAAGTCCTGCGCGGCTGGGGGCTAGGCATGGGGTATATAACCATATATAACCAACAAAAGTCAGCTGATAACTCATCTACTAAACTTCGTTCTACGTACGTATGTCAATGCATGATACATATAATATGTATATATATATATATTTTCATATGTATGATACATACACTTTTGTTGCAAGACAAATTAAGTACTGCAACACTACATTTTAGACTTTAGAACACCCTGAACAACTGGCCCTGTAGCAGCGTTTTTCATCAACAGAAGAAATAGGGTCGGATAATCAGGAAATACCCTCTGGTAATCTGTAGCTATTAAACATCACCATGTTGAATAATGTTGAATACGCAACTCATCAATGGCCACTATCCATATATCACCATAGTTTTTTTTTCATGACCTTTGTGGCTAACCTTTCTGGAAAAACGTCCGGTGCCTCCTCTTCCCCACTGTCCTCAGGGGCGATATTGTCAAGGTACCCTATCGAAAATGGTGAATGGGGTCCCAGGGTCATTTCATAGCATGATCCATTTCCATAAGACCTGGCGTCAAAGCTAGGTATCCTAGTGGGCACCCGTTGGCATCAAAAGCCACCATCATTGCTGGACAATTCATTTTCATTCATTTCTAATGTCCACCCGAAATTTCTCGACACCCTGGGGCTTTTTTTAGTGGGTACAACTTTAGCAACCATTTGATGACTTTTTATCCAAAATTTCTACTTGTTCCAAAGCCATTCTGTTTTTTTCTTTTTTTTTTTCGGAGCGTCATATCCTTAGTGTGTTGATACTGCGTTCCCACTTTGGCTGGTACCCTCTGGTAAACTAACATAACTATGGAAACTCACAATGTTTAATGGGAAAATCCACTATAAATGGTCATTTTCAATAGCTATGTTAAATTACCAGGGGGTACTCTTCCATTCATCAACCCTGAAATCTTTGGTCAACCGGAAATTCAACATCAATACCCTCTGGTAATCAAACGAAGCACTGGGAAGTCCTATCAAAATGGAGGTGTTGGGACAAATAATCTATGAATTGGCAATTATCCATTCAATGGGTGATCTTCAGGATCCGATTTAATGGAGGTACGTGTTTAAGTACCATATGTTTGGCCATATTTTTGCTGGGATATCACCTGAAATTTAGGCCTTCAACTAGGCCAAACATATATGGAATCGGTACCTCCAATAAATCGGATCCTGAAGATCTCCCATTGATCCATTGCCACGTTTCATGATGTGGGAAACTACAATCGGAATGCCGACAAAAAAAACCAACATCTCACGTCCAGAAATCCTGATCGTCGATCGAATAAACAAATCCCTGTTATATGCCCATTTTAGGTGAATTCAACATCAATCCCATGGTTCCAATTGTAACCCCCATTGCTCCCATATCCTATATATCCTATATTCATCTATATTCAATATCCCATTAAGTCGTCGATTATATCAATTATATCCCTATTTCTACAGTTCCGATCCCGATGATGCTCAAATTCCCCAAGTATATTCAAGTATCATATGAAAAATCCGATTCTAGATGATCAAATTCCCAGTGAAATCTAAGAAAATCCCAGAAACATCCCCACATCTTAGATCGTTAACTCCGTGAACTCCTTGAACTATTTCGAGTCACCAAGTCTAAAGCTTGGCTCGTCTCGTGCGCAATTGGCACCTCGTATCCTCCAGGCTCCTGTCAACAGGAACTCCGGTGGAACAAGCTACCTGGTAATTTAACACATGGAAAAGCATCATTTTTAGTACTAATTCAATGTAATTCATCCTATCAATGGTCCATTTTCCGCGCAAAACATCAATCAAGCAGGGTAGTGAATTTGCTCGGTTTCGAATCAATGGAAATGCTGGCGAGTTGGTGTCTCCAGCCCGAAAAAATTGATGGATCAAGCGTTGCTTGACCTGGCTCGATTGCTGCAATCTGTAAATCACGTGAGCCGTGAGCCGTTAAGCATACCCCTATCCCATCTCACTGATTATATTAGTTGGTTAATAGGCTCCCTACTATGGGTTACCATCCCCAAAAAATATCAATACATGAGGTAGTATAAGTCCCTCTATCAACCAATCAACCATGGCATTTCGCTGGCTTATGGGAAATTGAACCAACACACCCATTTCGGTGACTCCACTAATTGATGGTTAAAAAAAAGCCTGCAGAATTCTGGTTGATGATTCTTGAGCCATGAAAATATATGAAAATATGCCCTTTTTATTGTTGGCTCACTGTGGTTTGGGGGCGTGCAACTGAATCTGACTCCAAACTATCATGGAGATTTTTGATGTGTCTGAAAATGGTGGAAAAACTTCGACCTCCGGCGTGACTAAAATGGTATGGCTATCCTTTGGCTATCCAGCCAACTGGAGGTTTCCTCAAATCCAGTTCAACCAGTTCTCATCCATTAAAAGCGGGTTGGTGGTTTTTCGCCCTACCCCTCTGAAAAATGATGGAGTGAGTGAAAGTCAGATTGGATCATGATCCCCAATCTGCTAGGGGAACATTTTTCACATGTTCCAAAGCACCAAGCAGAATGTGAGAACTTCCATTGGAAAGCCTCCATTTTGTGGGGTATCGCCATCAGGACCTTCCGATCCTCGTGGAGTGTGACTTCAGATGCAGGGACTGGGCCCTCCAAGACGATTTCCACAGGTCTCAGCAAGTTTCCTGGGCAACTCGAAAAAAGAAAACGCGGAGTTCGGAGGCTTTTGGATGTTAAACCAATGGCTTTTTGATGCTATAGCCTGGAAAGAAATGGAGTTGTTTCATGGATTTTGTTACATGATTGTTACATCTGAATCATATCAATCATATCAATCATATCCCACTCCTTTCCCAATTCTGTCCCCTTTTTTTCTTGAGACTCCGAAAAGAGGCACCGGGTTTTGTCCGGTGGTTTTCCTTTTTGGACCAGCGGCCTGCGCGGATCAACCAATCATCGAACAGCTCCACACGGTCTTCGCTGCGAAGACGCTGCTTGCGACCAAGCAGAAGGGCCTTGACGACGGCGTGACGGCGTTGTTTTTTAAGGCAGCATGAAAAACATTAGAGTTGAGGATGACACAATGATGACATATCATATCATATATATCATGCAATAATATATATATATTAACGTATATATATATATGTATATATCTGGGTAAATTATAATATTTCACTAACCTGAATTAAGGCCACTCCACTTGATGATTCCCCTTACTAACCATGATTTCCAGTGAGGTCGCAGTGAGGTCGTTATAATTTACCCAGATATATGTATACATGTATATGTGCATATATGTATATGTATATTCATATTAATACATATAATATGTATTGTATGTATATACATATACATGTAGTACACATATTATAATTAAATGGAAAAACATGGTGATTGCATCCACACAGAAAGACAGCATTCATCAAACTCAGCAACTGAGATCCAATCTTCACTCTCGTTGAGTTTCATCCCTCTGATAGGAGGGTGACCTGTGATCCTTTTGAAACCACTATTGCTAAATCCATTTGTTTTTCTGTTGGTATAGTTCCATTTTGTGATGCGACAGTGTGGTGTGTGCATGTGTGCGTGTGCAGTGTGTTGTGTGGACAGTGTTGTCAGTGTGGCCTGTGTAATGTGGGCGTGGTGACATCTGTGATCAGGCTTGACTGACTACCAACAATCAGAAACGTGCGAACCATAAGGATCAAACAGGTTGCTAGACCACTATTCACCACCATATAACCACCATATAACCACCATAACCACCATATAACCACTATTTTCATGATTCTTCTTGGCATTTTCGAATGGCCGGTGCCCAAAATGGCAGCCATTTTGGCTTTTCCAGTTCCATCGCAGTTCCCCGAGGCCATGCAACTTCGCTCCGCCAAGTGACGTCGTGTTCTGCGATCGAGAGCTGCTCTCCCCGCACTTTCTTCTCCCGAAGCAACCTGCACAAGACTTGGGGGATGTGGCTTCCCTCGGTGAAGGAACCCAGGGAAAAATTGGGATCATTTCTTATTAAAAATTGGGGCAACAGTGACCATTTCGTATTAAACTTGCTATAGCAAAATTAAACCAGATTAAACCAAATCTTTCTTCGTGGTTGATATGAAATAGGAATAAATATTAGAATAAAAAACGGATAGAACTTGCCAGAAATGGAAGAATGGCTGACAAAACTCGTGGACATCTACCCTCTGGTAAACTAACATAACTATGGAACATCACCATTTTCAATGGGAAAATCCACTATAAATGGCCATTTTCAATAGCTATGTTAAATTACCAGAGGGTAAATGAGTGAATTTGCCCTTCTGAATCTCTGCGAGGCCCGGCCCTCGGACAGCTTTCTGGTTACGGTGGCCTTATGTGGAATCTTAGGCCCCTGGATCCTACGAAAATCAACCAGCTATTGGAGTACCCCATTTATGGACCCCCCATATATATAATATATATATATATCCATGATATCCGTATCATTCATCATTCCATGAAATTATCCTCTGGTAAATAAACAGTTTGACCCTGAAAATAGCCAATTTTTAATGGAAACTAGTCTTCCAAGCCCGATGACTGCCAGTGTCTATGTTAATTTACCAGGGGGTATCCATTATTCCAATTCGATTATGAATGGACTAGATTATTCCTACTAGGATGATATTACTAGATATAAATGATAATTCCATGGAGAATTCTTCCGTATCAGAAAATTCCATGCTTCATCCTACGATTACTAGCCTCTGGTAAATTTATATTGCAGTTTGCTATTGAAAATGGCCATTGAAATCGTGAGTTTTCCCATTAGAAATGGTGATTTTCCATAGTTTTCCCATGAAAAATGGTGATTTTCCATAGTTTTCCCATGAAAAATGGTGATTTTCCATCGTTTTCCCATGAAAAATGGTGATTTTCCATAGTTTTCCCATGAAAAATGGCGATTTTCCATCGTTTTTTGGTAGGTTTACCAGGCCGGGTCAAAATTTCATCGACCTTCAGAGATCCGAATCCGCAACGGCCATAAAGTGGGTCCCTCTGGTATCGACCATTTACGGATATGACAGTACACACGCTGTAGTAGATATATATATATATATATATATGTATGTAATGTAAATGTAAATGTAAATGTAAATGAAAATGTAAATGTAATGTAGTGTAATGTAATGTAATGTATGTATACACACACACACATATATATATATATATAATACACAAACATATTATAGACTATTGTTTTTTTACCTGGCTGCCCTCAGTGGATTGCCTGGCCTCGCTTCATCATCCGAGTCTTTCCACAAGAAGTACACGGCGTTCTCCTGGCAGGTTCGGAGTGGGATTTTCTGTCCGAGTCATTGGCTGCTACATAAGTTTGGTGATGTCTACATCTACATATATTTATTGTGAACAAATCGATCCTTGTTCTGGATGTTATATCTCAAGTGGTGTCTGCCTTACTGGTAGTTTCCGGACCCAGTGAACATGGCAGGCAGCGATTGCTCTCTTTTACACACGCAGGGGGTCTTGAGCCAAAGTGGCGTCCCATGCATGAATTGTTTGTATGCTCTCACTACGTTCCCTTTGACACCCCCCATGCCCGTGGTATTCTTCGAACCACGGACACGAGAGAGGGAACTTTGAATTAAATTGGTTTCTGCTACTTGAATTACGCCTTTGTACATAAAACGTGCCATTCGGCTCCCCCTTCCCCACATACCCGTCGGGAATAATGGTTCAGGGTTCGCCTACTCTCTGGCTGTCGATGCTTCGGCGCGTCCTCAAGCTGTACAACGCGAATTATTGCTAGCTAACATCTACTTTTCTACGTTGGCTAGGCATACCACTCACCCGTCGGGAGAAATGGATCGCTTCGCTACTAAAGATTTACAATGCTAACTAACGAATTCACGTGCACAGTGCAGAATTCGTGCAGATTGGGAATATCAATATCTTGAACCTAAGCGAATTAGTCTACTGCCTCGCTCAGAGTCCACTCAGTTGATCCTTTCCTGATCATCTGTTCACAAAGACGATACACATCTCATATTCCAGTGATCATTTTTACGGATCGAAGTAATTGGTTTACTGCTCACGGCGGACTTTCTTCCATTGAGGTGCTGTTGGAGTTCTCTCCCATCCTGCCGCACGTTTCGGAGCAGCTTTCGGCGATGAAGGCTTTGCAGGCGGTGCCTTTGATGGTTCATGGGATTTCGGCATAGCCTTGCCCTTTGGTGCACTAGCCGATGAGGATGATGCTGAACCAGTGCCTTCAGGTGTCTGTGAAGGTTGCGCAGTTGGTTTAGCAAACTTAGAAGCTGCAGTATGTCCAACCGCTTTGAATACTTCACTCACCACTTCGTCGCCAAGGGTTGGAGCCATCTTCGCTTTCATTTCGGTCTTTCCCCTCTGCGCCTCGGCCTCGGCCAGCTGAATAGCATAAGCCATCTTGCTGACAAAGTTTTGAGGTAAAGGAATGCCACATTGTTGGGCTGCAAAGAGCAGTTCTACTCTCTGTTCTTTCTCCCTCAGGCTCAGATATACCGAGAAGGCTGGGAGTTCGATGCAGTTGGGGAAGCCGTGGCTCCCGGAGCGAAAGAAGGTGTATGACTCGTGCTCCGGAAAGGTTCCTTTGAGCAGTCGTCGAAGGAAATTGCTGATGGTTACTCGCATCTCCTGTTTCCCTTGGGCATCAGCCTGCATTCGGTTCATTGGCATGAGAAAGCCTAATGACTCAGGAGTGTACCCAGCACGTACCAGAAATTCCATCATCTTTTCATAGATCTCTAAGGTCTTGATGACAGGCATCATCATGTTTCTTGGTCGCCCTGAGTATAACTTCTCTCCTTCTGACCATGAATTCCTCTTCCCTTTCTGCTGAAAGAGTTCATCCAATTCCAGCTCCGTCGGTCGCTTGAGGTTGCCATCCTGGTCTTCTCCTGTATAAGGACAGAAGTCGTCCAGGTCCAGCCGGACTCGCTTGGTTTCCGTCATCATCTCATAGTACTCCTCTGGGGTCAGAGTGACTCTCTGTTTGTAGTAGAGCCTGAACATTGTGATGACCTTTGACATGACAGCATTGTCATACAAGTGAGCCGCGGCCTCGGAGACATCGTTGTTGATAAGTCCGTCTTCTGGCATACCCTTGCTGCCGCTCTCGAGGTTCTTGGTCCATGCTGGAAGCTTGGTAGAGGATTCATCTTCAGGTTCGACTTCCATTTCATCGTCGTCTTCTTCAACGATTTCGTCGTCTTCCTGTTGGGCTTCCTCCTCCTGATCCATTTCTTCATCATCGCCTTCGTTGTAGTCGACCTCGTCGGGATTGAAGCCATAGTCGTTGGATTCGGATACGTTTTCTTGTGCTTGATGGACCGTATCCTTGAACAACGATTCTTCTTGTCGACGAACTTCTTCATCGATCTCTTTCTTCGTGGCCTCATCTTCATCGTCTTCAGGAGCTTGTAGCCGATAGGGACGGATTCCACAACTTTCCAGTTCCGTCCAGCAAACTAGACACACTGCTAGTTTTGTCGGCGTCTCATTGAGACAGTGAGGACAATGGCGGCAACCTGATGTTTGCACCCTTTTGCGTTCGACTATGTAGTCAATCAGCTTGATGCGGGCCAGGTACTGTTCTTGTCCGCCAGGCTTGATGAGGTCGTTCTTGAATTGGTTGACGATGTTCATGGCATCCATGGCGGTTTCGTCAAACGGTTGATCTTCGGCGTCGATGCATTGACTTGCAACCCTCAAGATGGACTCCTTGGTGGCTACCGTTCTTGATTTGACAGTTCCAGACCGGACTACCTGGTCGTCGCCCGACGGGACGAACAACCGGAGCCATGTCTTATTGTTTTGGTCCTTTGGGTCCTGAATCCATCCTCCTTTGATTGCCGAGAACGGGATGATCTTTGGTGAGACGATCTGTCCCGAGTCAGTCAGTCGACCGCCATATTCCACCATCAAGGTCTCGGTCGGGATGAACAAGCAAATGTAGTCCCCCTTTCGCGTATCAACGCTCTTCGTGATAGTCCATGATCTGTGATCCCATGGCACGTACGGATTGAAGAACGTGAACATCCGATGACCTTCTCCAAGACCTCCTGGAATTAATCCCTGCCTCCAAATGCTTCGAAGGTTGGTCTTCTTGGTGATGTGGAAACAAACCGGTAACGACAAAATGGTGTTGGGCGCGATTGGATGTGAAAGTAATGAGGACAGCAATGAGACGTCGTCCCTCGAAGATCCTTCCTTGTGCCCCGTAGGAGCACGGACCGCCACAGGGTAGAGCAGTAGACCTTCATCAGGAATGTTCGTGTTCGCATCGACTTTGTTGTCAATGCACGTCAGGCTGGTGCGCTCGATGTCCTTGTTGATACCAAATGCCAACACTTGTTCACGAACACGACGTCCATACCGGGCACAGTGGAACATAATCTTGAAGAGCAACGTCATGCGGTAGTTTGCCTCATCGACATTCCATGCACTCTGATCATTTGCCCTTCCTTTTGGAGCAAGGAATACATGTGGCCAGCGTGCGTACTCGTGCCTCCAGATGGACTCACATTTGAGCACCTCCTCGATGGGCACCCAGCCGGCGTCATCACATGACAGACTCTGTTGTTCTGATACCTTCCCCACGTTGTGCCGCAGGATCCTGTTTAGTGATGTACTCACCTTGTCCTCGTAGGTATTGAGTCGGTTGCCAGTCTCGAATCGGTAGTTGGCCGCATACTCTACACCGCCAAAGTAAGAGCAGTTGAAGAAATGGGCCCCCGTGGTCGGGATGATTTTCAAGAAACCATCTTGCGGCGCCTCGACTCTCTTGTAGAAGGGCTTCCTGATGTTGTTATCAGAGTAGCTTGCCATAAAGTCTGGCACTGACCAAGAGTCACCTCCTCCTCTGACAATAGCGTCTCTGACCACTTCGTTGAGGTCAACAATGTTCTGTGGTCCTAGCTTTGTCACATCACGTCCTTCTATGCAGAATCTGCCATACTCATCGAGGTCACCAACTTCAGACATAGTTCTGATGCTGTCGTACCATTGGTGTTCACCAAACCTCGATTTTGTGGGTTCATCCGTTTGCCCCGACCCATCAGTAGCACCTGAACCGTCCTTCTTGTGCTCAGGAGGCTCCATATCGACGTCATCAGATGTTGGACTATCAGCCTCGAGCGACGCTCGGACGGCCTTTAGCACTTTTCTGACTTCATCTCTCTTCTCATGTTCACATTCAAGATGGCCATGTTGGGTGCTACCACAATACAAGCACACGTTGACATCCTCAGAGACGGTGAATAGTTTTCCCAACGCATCCAAAAGTTGTTGTTTCCCGGAATTCTCTGAGTCCCTGACCACATCGGTGGGGTCGTTCGCTGGCTCATCAGCTTCCTCCTCCCCAGGGTGAGCCGACGACTCGTCACCTGGCTTGGCATCGGCATCAGTGCCCATGCTGGCGTCACCCCCTGTGATGTTGTTCTTCCTGCGATAATGAGAGAATACCTGATCCTTCTCCCAGTCCGTGAGGCAGCAGAAATTGGCCAGCGAATCATATCCGGGGATTGCGTGGATGAGCTTCATGACCCTTTCGGCTTCTGCAGTTTGCAGTGTGCAGTCGAAGGATCCCCGTCTCTTGTCATTGATGGTGCTCGAGGTTCGGGAGGTCGATGTAAATTGAGCCAGTGCCTTTTCCAATCCATTGAGATACTCAGCTGGATCAACACTAGCATTGAAAACATCTACGACTCCCTTGGCCATATTGGCCACGTCCAAGACACCAAGCCAGAACTCGATGATATCTCCAGTTTTCTCGGCAGATGCACGGGAGAATCCAAAAATCTCGTTCCTCTCCTTCACCTCGGGAACGGCAACCTTCTCGAAGAAGTCTTTGTATGCGACATTTCCGCAATCCTTTGTGACTCTATAGATCAAAAGCCACTTCTTTGCAACATCATCGAAAACTCTTTCTCGATATATGCTGAATTGCTTGCCGCGTCCATTCCGGAAAATTTCCAGAGCTTGCCTCTTCGAAATTCTGACTCCTCCCATGTGAGATAGAGATTTCATCAAGTGCTCCCCATACGCCAACGATGCATTTGAAATCAACGAAGACGCAGTAAATGTGAGCCATGTTTGGAATCCTTGATTGATGTCAACAATGTCAACACCAAGATCCTCGAATGCAACCTTCAACCTAGCTGCAAGGAGTAGTACGGACTTCCTGGCCTCCAATGTGGGGGATGAACGCTTGTAATGGTCCTGGGTGTTGGCGGAGCAATTAATGCAATGGGTTGGTCTCGACTGGCACGTCTCGACCTCA